TATGGGTCCCTTGGGCTGGTGTGCAGAGAAATGCTGTGTTGTTTGTTAGTCAGGAAAGTATCACATCATTTTCCATATAGTATTAAAAAGTAAAATTTATAGAGCTAGTAATTGTCTAAGTATTTTTATATACAAAGAAATGTGCTGCTGATGCATGCTATACTTGCTGGTTTGAGTTTCTTAAAACTTTCAATATAAACCCAAGAAACATGCCAGGATTTGATTTTACAGTATCAGAAGTGAGCAGTTGCTAAATATTCAAGATGTAACTGTTTGTCTATTTTAGAAGCAAATTAGTAATCACTACAGTTCTCCTAAGATAGTCTTTTGGCATCATGCTTACTCAGTTTGCATTTTCAGATATTTTGCATGTACTATGATATAGGAATGGTATAAAAAGTAGATCATAAATCCCTTCATTAATCCATAATATCATGCATAAAAGTGTGAGTCTAATGGAAAAAACCTGTTTTAAAAAAGATATGCTGAAACAAATTAACAAGATAAGTTTATTCTCAGAGCCACTTCTGCACATAGCACTGATGAAGAAAGCATAACTTCTCAATGGTTATGCAAAGGCCTTTTTTTTTTTTTTTTTTTTTAAAGGACATTTGGGAATTTCTCTGTCATTATGGCAGCTCTACAATCAAGACAGATATCTGAAATATTCTTTCCAAATAAGAAAAATTGTAGTACTAGGAGTTTAAAATAAATAACTAAAAGACATAATCTACTAGCTATCGAAATACAGGTTTTGTTTCCTTAAGTACAACAGAGAAAGAGGTAAGTTTTCTTAAGGACTTACCTGTCTTTATCCCGGAGTTTTATAATATCCATTGCAATATAAAGAAAAAAGAATGGCAGTAAACAAATAATCTTAGCTCATCTTTGTGCTTAATGCTTTCCAATAGATGCAGGCTTAAATACAAAATAGAAAAGTAGAGGATAGAACATGCAGTTTTATGCAGTAGTGTTCTACTTTGTGGGGAGATGCTGCCTCGATCAGGTATTTTGTTTCTAAAAAGTATAGCGTTTGTATAAAACTATAGAGATGTGCTACCCAAAAAGCTCATATTCTGTGACAGCTTTGTGAAATAATATGGCAGACTTCTGACAGGATCGTATTTGCTTTGAATTTCAGTGTAGGGAACCAGAATTTAACATGAAAGTAATTTTTATCCAAGAAGTATATGAAGGAATAAGCAATGTTGTGTCTTCTGTCCTCATACACTACACTTTTTAAACCACTTTTGATTTAAAGGAGATGTAACTGAGGGTAGAAATTGCCTATTATTAAGTGTGGAAAACTAATTTTGATGATGTTATCTTCAAGGGTTGGCTCTGTGAACTGCTACGTTGGAAAGAAGATCCCTCACCAGAAAACAGGACCTTATGGGAGAATCTGTCAATGATCCGAAGGTTCCTCAGTCTTCCTCAGCCTGAACGAGATGCCATTTATGAACAAGAAAGCAATGCAGTTCATCACCATGGTGACAGGCCTTCCCACATTATCCATGTTCCTGCAGAGCAGATTCAGGTTAGTTTACCTTGGCCAATCCAATATTGCACTAAGTAAATAAAGCCTTAAACATAGCAAAGGAAATTAGTGTCTCTCTTCTTCCTGCCAAACTAAACAGAGGCTTTTTAGTAAGAGATAACAGTACACTGCCATCTTGCTTCAGTCTGTACAAGAAGTGTGTGAACATATGCACCCTTTTTTAAAACTGAGAAAGACTTTGACATTGAACTGAATCTTTTGCTAGGAGGAGGAATAATCCGTTATCTTAGCTACTTAGGCGCGCACAGTTTGGTAGAATTAAGGATTAAAATATGGCACTACTTACTATTTTTTCCTAAGTATTTGGGAGGAAATTCTTATTTTTAAGTGCTGCCTTTTAAAATCCCATAGAGTAGCTTCAGATCCTCAGCACCAGTGATTCCAGTGATTCACCTGGAATGGAGGGAGGGGGACTCAGCCTGATTCTTCATCCCATTTAACTCCAGTTGAAGTTTGGGATGAGTCAATGTTTGTTTGTTTTTCCTTTAGAGCCCCTCTCCCACCACCCATGTGAAGGAAGAGCATAGAAGTGCTTTCTTACCAGGCTTGCTGACCACTGGACCTTGGCTGGGTGCTACTCCTCAGGTGAGCTGGCACAAGTTAATGTGTCAGGGAGGGAAATGAGGGGTTTCAAGACCCACTGCCAGATAAGAGGAATAGCTTCTTTATATACTTAAAAAGCTACATTCTGAATTGTCCATGGTAGGTCTTAACATTAATCTGGGGAGATAGTATTCATTCTGCTCATACTATTTCCCTTACCTTTGAACTAGATACAGCAATAGCCTCTGAATATAGAAGCATTATAATGCTCAAATTGTAGGATGGCACTATAATATGGATCACTCTCAGACTGAACTGATGAAGCTATGTAACTCATATTTATTAAAGATCTTGGGGTCAGCTTTTAACTGCATCCCACAAAGGGCAGAAAATACGCATAGTTCCAGACCCAAACAACTACTGAAACTTAGTGGATTGTTTATATTACCTATATGAAAAATATATTTACAAAGCTAGGAAGAATAGATGTATCCAGCAGCCAAAAACAACATGCGTGTGTATTAAAGATAAAACAAACTGAACAAGACAATCCCTTAGGATATCGAGTGCTAAAATAATTGTGAAAGCCTGGAAATTTACTGTTTGATTTAGCAAAAAGAGAGAGAGAGAGATCTATATTAAGTAATAAAACAGCACTTGTTTGAAAATGTACATTGTTTTTAATAAAATCACTTCTTAGGGGAATAAAAGGAAAAGCTTCTGCACAATATAAGCATTTTAATATTATGCTACTTCCTTAGATCCATTTGTCTTGTTGATAAAAAAAATTGTGTGTTTGATCTTGCAAACATTACTAACATAACTAGTTGCATTATAATTACTTTATATGACTAAGAGTTGCAGGACTGAGCTAAAGTACTCTGTCACTCTTATACA